GCAGATCTGTTTTCCTTTGATAGTGTGGACACTGCAAATCATAAAGAAAGAGAAAAACAAAGTCAACACTTTCAATTGAAGTTGATTCATTGGCTCATGCTTTAAATCTCCACTTCATTAAACAGGACTGTATTTGGTCAACTACTGCATAATTATACATCTAATGAAGTTATTATACAGTAACACAGCAAGAAGGTCCTGTGTGAAGTTTGCATACCCTCCCTGTTTTTGCGTGGGGCTCCGCCGGATACTCCGGTTTACTCCCACCATGAACGACAGGGTTTATTCTTCCATCTGAGTAATTCTTCTATTACCAGAACCACAGGGGGATAATGAAGTTGTAAGCTCATCAAGATGTGCCCCCACCTTGGGTCTCAATTCCGAGCTGCTCCAGCCACATCATGAATCTAAACGGCCCTCCTTTAGCCCTCACCTCGAGCCCATATCATCCAACCAAACACGACCCTCATCTTATCCTTCACCAATGGAAATAAACTAATTCTGACACTGCACTATGGCGTGGTTACAGAGTTACAGAAAGCAAAAATTGTGCTAATATTGCTTTGATCACAACAGCTCTAAGCAAGTGAAACTCAGTGTATCCAACTGGTTTTGCTCATGTTTTTTGTGATAAGCCTGTCTGACAATCAGTGTCAGTAGCAAACTTGAATTTGAATTATTAGAGCTGAATCTGAGAAATTGCATAATTTGAATTTGTATTTTTAACTGAATTCTGAATAGGCATGATTTTTGAATTTTGAATTTTTAGTTTTGAAACTAATTTCAGCCCTCACTAAAAATTCAACTTTTTATGTACTTTCAAATTCAGATCTCTAGAATTCAAATTCAAATCTCTTAAATTCAAATTCAGGATCGCGTCAATACAAATTCAAATCTGCTAAATTCAAATGCAAATCTCTTAAAATTCAAATTCAGATCGCTTCATCTCGTCGCCGGTCTCCCCGCTTTTCGTGTGGCAACTCAATTTTAAACTCACAGGGAATACAACTTTTAAGGTCACAGACGGTCAAACCTTAAGGAAGACAGCAATCGAGTGCAGGAGTAAGCCTGCATTCTTTCCAACAGCCAGCGAGAAGGGCGGACTCAACTGGATAAGAAAGCCCAGTTCAATTCAGGAAAATCAACCTGGCAAAAGTAACAGTTATATGTGACACACTTGAACCTG